GTTCAGGGGGAACATCGGGAAATTCGGTGTCGAGCTCAAAGGGATCCTCCGGTGCAACATCAACAGGTTTCACACTGCCTATGTCCGAAAAGGGATCGAATGTACCCAGTGCTTTCTGTCGTGGACGACTTGCTGGATTTCGACCCTTGAACCGCCACTTCTCCCTATAGCTGCCGATCTGCTGAAGAACCTGGTCCTCCGCCTCTCTGGAACAAACCACAATACCCGACAACGAAGCATCCGAAGCTGTCAACAGGCTGCTTGTCTGTTTTCGCAGGTCTGCTGAGCAGAGCGGTAGCAGCTGGCCAATCCACTTGGCTTCAACCGCTGCACTGCACCACAGCCTGCGTTTGCACTTGTCTGCATGTTGAACGAAGGCGTACAAATGATTTGGAATGCTAAGCAACTCCCTCGATCTTCAGCATCATGAAGTGCGCTGCATGTCCCAACAACCGCTGGACTGCTTTGCCTGACACCCAAGGCCTCCTTGATAGCCATCGGAACGCCATCCATCAGCCCTCGATGAAGTCGTTCAGGAATTGGGGTCACCTGTCCAATGTCTCCATCAATCAAATAACCCAAAGACTGTGAGGTAGTGAGCCTCCATCTCCTCATGCACTATCAGTCCAACACTTCTCAACCGGGCGACTGCTTTGTCTTTTGCGGCCTGCACGGCATCCGCATCGATTCCGCAGACGTTGAGATTGTCCGCATAGGGCAGCAGAAGTACCTCTCCACGGCTGAGGTCTGGAGCAGGTTTTCCATCCACCAGAACCCTATCTTGTGTAAGACCAGCTCCAATCTGTGACTGGTGTTGGTGAACTCTTTGTGACAGCCACATTGCCCACGACCATCCCATGGGCACCACTCGAAGCATTGGGTGAATCCAACCATCACGGTCGAGGGAGCCACCTTGTTCGGCACTCACCTTCCAACGTCCAACCAATGCACTGGGGACCGGTGGAGTGCTCATGGAAAGTACTGGGAGTGAATGCCTGATCCCTCATATCTTTCAGCAGCTTGAGAGCCGTTGGGGGTCCAGTGAGTTGGATCACTCGAAGATCGTCCACCGATATGCTGCAGCCTTCACAAGGATGGAGCCCACCCCTGCAGGGACCACGCCACGGTCTCCTACGCTATGGTATCCAACTGGGAGGCTACCCAAGCGTCAACGGTCTCTGCCACGGGTGCCAAAGGGGCGACTCCGCCAGCAGGGGCTGCAGGAGCAGCTCCCAGCGAATATGGGGGACGGGCCGCCGGGGCAACCGCTGCCGGAGCAGCAACTGCATGCAGGTGCGGCAACTGGTGCAGCCGCTGGTGGTGCAACAGGAAGACCCAACGACATGCGGTGTGCGTCAGCCAGGATTTGTCCTTGCATTCTAAAAGCTCCCAACTCCTGTGGTGTGAGAGGATCAAAACCATACACTGTGTTTGGGTCAATGTGTGCAGGAATGGCTCCATTCTCCCCACAATAAAAGAATCCCGTCAAATCCCTGTTCGAATCCGACAACTCCTCAATGTAAACATCGTGATCTGGTGTTAGAATGGCCCACTGAAAACCTTCAGCGTCGGCCAATAGGGCACTCACACACAAGTTTCGGAGTTGTCGGCATTTCCACATGCACCATGTGCACTTGTCAGATAATCTTGGCATGGTTTTGGCTGTAGACAAGGGTAGAAGCTCTTCCCCACAGTTGATGCGTGTGTGCCGTCGAATTGCGTGTTTGCTGATTTGCACAGGGAGCAGTTTTACATGTCGCTGGATTCCTAGTGGACTGAACATAGCAGATGGGGGCTCTAGGTTCTGGGAACATCTCCGGCGAGGGGAAATTGCTTCCCCAAAACATTGTGACAAAGCAGTCCGGCAAGCAGAAACGAAAACCGTTCGTGATTGGACATGGCGCCAGACAGGCTGTGAGGTTACAACTACAGGGAAACGACAAACAGGAGAGAGCTTCAACACGACAGGCTTTCAAGCAAGAGGTGAGCAAGATTCAGAGGTTTCCGGGCCAGACCTTTTTGGAAATGAACGCAATCTCCGAAGAATTGGCCTCGGATTACAGGATCAGGATGAGCAGGCTAAGATCTTTTGCAAAGATGGAGGGCCTTTCCCTTCGCGGCCAGAAGAACTTAGACAATGCCTTGAAGACATCGGCGAGGCCACGAAGACACTGGCCGCTGTGGTGGATGCTTTCCCAGACTGTGCGCCAAAGGGGAGCCTCCCCCGAACAAGGAGGTGTTTGCAAGGTTGGAACAGGCTAGATCCGGGGGCCACAAGGCCACCTATTCCATGGGAGTTGATTGCGGCATTGGTGAACCACATGTTGAGCAGAGAACAGGTCAGCGAGGGCATCATGGTCTTGCTGATGTTCGATGCCTACCTCCGGCCAGGTGAGGCCATCAGCCTCCACCGGTCAGATCTGGTAGAACCAGCAGTGCAGCACCCTCATTTCTGCCTGAATCTCAACCCTTCCGACCGGGCAGCAACTTCAAAGATGGGGCTTTCAGACGAGACAATCATCCTGGACGGACAAGAGACACCGTGGATGGGACAGTTGTTGAGACATTTTTTGACATTGCGCAACAGCCCAAAGATGTTTCCCATCGAGTATCGGCGGCTGAAGGACGCGTGGCAAAAGGACTTGGTCGCATTGCAGTTGTCGAGCGGGCACTCCGTGCTTTATCAGTTGAGACATTCTGGTCCTTCCCACGGCCGGATGACAAAGACCAGGACATTGGTCGATATCAAGAAGCGTGGCAGGTGGCTCAGCGACTCTTCAGTTCGCCGTTCCAAGCCTCGGCTGAATCAGGAGCTCCAGAAGTTGCCAAAGAAGCTACAGAGAAAGGCATTGGAAGCACCAGCAATTCTAAATCAGTGGGTCCAAAGATTTTTCTCCCGGAAGAGAAGAAGGATCTAAAAGTTTGGGCTCTCGAGATTTTCAGTGGAACGGCGCACTTGAGCAAAGCATTGGTCCAACAAGGTTTCCGTTGCGCAGCATGGGACATTGAGTATGGGCCACAGTGTGATGTTTTACCGCCAGGGGTGCTTCGCAGTCTTTTGAAGTTTCTTTCAACTCATGAGGTTGTGTTGGTTTGGTTTGGCATGCCTTGTCAGAGCTGGACACGAGCACGTCGTTGGGATGGTGGTCCACCACCCCCCAGGGATGACACAATTTTTCTCTGGGGGCGCAAACATCTTTCCAACTCAGACAATAGCAAACTTGCCCTTGGGAATGTTTTGCTTTTGTGGACTTGTGTTATGGCAGCATTGTGCATTGAACTTCACATTCCTTATGTTATTGAAAATCCAGGCAGTTCACGTTGTTGGTTGACAGCACCTATGCAGGTCCTACAGAAGAGTTCACAGCTTGCTTTCGTTGACTATTGTCAGTACGGAGTTCCTGAGAAAACAAACTGGGTTGCTCATACATGGCTTTTCAACATTGGCTAGCGCCTTGCGTACTTGTACCCTCATACGAGGCCGGTGCAGTGCCAATCACAAGCGGCGCATCATTTTAACCGGAAAGGACAGCAATGGTATATATTGGAGTCACAGGGCCCAGCCCTACCCGCACCTACTTTGCCAACAGATTGCACTTCTTTTGGCCAGTTCATATGGTGGGTGTGGGAGGTGTTGACTTGCGTGTCGATTCGAGAGACACATCATCCAGACGCTTGCAGATGTCGTTGATCATGGATTGGCCCCAAACGGGGCA